TCCTCTGTTCAGGACTTCTCTGGGCCCTCAGTTTCCTCAGCTGCAGAGGAACTAAGATCTTCTCCCCCTCGTCCCTTGGGGCTATTGTGAGGAACATGTTAGTGAACGGTTTGAAAATACAACTGTGAGGGCTCATCACTGCTATTTTGAAGAGAAACAGAGGACAGCTGTGGTTTGCGGGGTGCTCACTGAACTATCGGGCTGTGTCTAGGACAACTGGTGAGGCGAAACTCAAAACGCAAATTAGGGTGCTCTTATGAATAGCTTATCAATCAAGTGAGTCTCTAAACGCATCCTGAGGACAGGTGGTGAGGAACTTCGTGTACTGGAAGAAGGAGAGTGGATGGGATGTGCATGGGTTACAAATAGTGGGTCCCAGGGAGTTAGGACCACCCTGAGGACAGCGTCTCCTCTCTCACCCCCCTTCACTACTTGGCCCTAGGATTTCAGACTCTAGCAACAAGGAGCTTCCTACTGTGTTGTCAGATGCCAGATGAGTGGGTCGGGAGGTGGCCAGGAGGAACGACTCCAGCCTTTGCATTGCCTTTCTCTTCACTTTGAAGGCTGGGGAGAAAGGCTAGAGCTTTAAAAAAAAAAAGTATAGCAAAACAAAACCACCACCGAGGAAAAATAAACAGGATACCTAAGCACTCCCTCAACAGTAAAGGCCTTGAATTTCAAGAAGTCTTTTATTCCCATTATTTACTCTTATTAATCGGATTGAAGTATCTGGTTTCCAAAGCTCTTACCTACATGCAGGGCTCCTCCTCAAATGCACCTTTGTAATTCTAAACCGGGCTTAGAAGATGGGACAGGTGACCCAGTGAGCTCCTCTTTGTTCCAGTTTTCACATTCTATTATGTAGCGCTGGCACTGAACTAGCTAATCAGCTTGATCTACAACCTGAAACCACTCTACCTCCTCCGTATCTGTTACTGATGTTTATATAACACAGGTCCTTAAAGGTGTTTACAGCACACTTTCTGCCACACACCATTATATTTGTCCTCATAGTCATTGTGAACGTTATTAATAATTTTTGTTTTAAATTCCCAATTCACGGAAAGGCAAATCGAGGTACAGAAAGATCAAGTGAGCAGTTTGAGATCACATGGTTGGAGTTCTTCAGTGGCTGGGCAGGACCAGTAGTCAGAAGTTCTTACTTATGTCAGAGATTCTTTCCTCATCATCAGAAAATATTCCAATAACAGAAAAATACTAAGAAGAAAATATTAATAGCGCTTATCCCTACCACCTAGAGTTAAGCATTGGCTATTTACTTCCAGCCTCCCACGGCCTCTATTCCCTTATAAAAAATTACTTGAGTCTATACGTTCATTTCATTTAAGAAGTGTATATAAGAGCATTATAGATAAAATTCCCCTTTGACACTCTCCCCTCTCCCGGCTTGACCACCCCAGAGGTAGATATCTTTCCAAATCCACCAATGTTTTGTCTTCTATTTCTATGTTACCCTCCGTAGTACCCATCAGCCATTTCCACTGACATCTTGTCTGGCAGTTCCATACATACTTTCATAACTAATTCATTTTCAGTGGCTGTACACAATTCCATCATACTTTTGTGTCATTAATTCATTCATTCCCCTTTCGATGAACATTTAAGTTATTTACATTTTCTCACTTTAGCAAACAGTGCACCAATTGTTAGGTAAAGAGTTAGGAATCCAGCTCTCCTGGGAAAAAAGGACAAGGGCAGTTCTAAGCAGGCCAATTGCAAAAGGAAGTAAAGGATTCTCTAGGCCACTGGCCACCATGGGCTTCAGAGAGGCTCATGGGAGGTCTGTGTGTGCAATATGACTCTGGTTCCAAGGTCACCTGTGAACCAAGAGTTAGACCCAGTCCAGGCAGTATGAAACAGAACTGCTGGCCATAACCTTCTGCCTTTTGTCCCGACAGTGGAGGCCCGTTTGTTGTCTGTAATGAACGTATCTTGCTCTGCAGACCTATATCTTGCTTTTGCTCCGTAAACATATCTTTTTCTTTCTCAATAAACTTTGTTTCATGCTTGCTTTACTTGGGATGTCTGGTCATTCTTTGGTCAAGAGTATCCCAAGAACCAAGGACAGAAGACAGCTGCCTGAAACTCCAACATTTTAGAACACAAGCAGCCATGACAGTAATTGTCCTTGTACATTTCTCAGTGCATGTATGGAAACGTTTCTAGGATTAAATTCCAAAAGAGGGAATTGTTGGGTCACATGTTATGCACATTTTCAGTTTAACAACTACTGCTAGCCTGCCTTCCGAAGAGGCTGTTCTAATAGACACACCTAAAAGCAGTCTATAAGGGTATATGCCTCTTCATAACCTTGCAAAAAATTATTGTTCTTGTTAAATTTGTCCAAATATAATCTTCTAGATTAAAAATATGACTTCTTTAACATTTCTAGAAATATGGAATGTACACATGTCAAAAATCTATTCAACTCATTAATAACAAGAAAATTTTCAACATGAAAAAACCTGATTCCATGACCATGTAGGAAACTGGATATATATAGTCTTTTATTTAAAAGAATGTTAAAGTAAGATTGCTGTTGAGACCAGCCTGAACAAGAACAAGACCCTGTCTCTACTAAAACTTTAAAAATTAGCTGGGAGCAGTGGAGCTTGCCTACAGTCTCAGCTATTTAGGAGGCTGATACAGGAGGATTACATAAGCCCAAGAATTTAAGGCTGCACTGACTCCACGGCATTCTTGACAGGGTGACAGAGCAAGATTCTGTTTCAAAAAGTAAAAATAAAATAAGAAAAATAAATAAGATTTCAAGGCTAGATACAAGAATGATTAATGTTCTATCGGAAAATAAATTATAACTTGTGTAGTTATCTTTTCTTTGGGACAAAAATTATTGTATTTCTACCAGGCACAAATCTACAAATTAATACATAACTTCACAGGGTCTGCTGTAGCCCTTCATTAACAGCAAACAGCAAACAGCAGCAACATTAAGCAATGGGACAGTGTACTAGAAAGTTAAGTAATCCTTGGGCCTTTTAATGATGTTTCAATATGGCATTTAAAGGACACACATTGCAAGTATAACTATCTCATTGGCTCTATTTCCAGATTTTGGATATTTTTTCAAAATCCTTTTAATGGATTTTAAAAGTATGCATCAATCCAGTGGGTCAAAAAATAGCAGTTCATTGTTTTAATCTGAATTGCAGTAAGTATTAGCGACCTTTGGGCACTTATTTTTAGCTGGCTATCTAGTTTTCTCTAGTTCCACGTCTCTTTAAACTAACAAACATTAAGAATACGAAAACACTTTCTCCTTTATAATTAAGGATGGTGTATACTGCAGGATGGTGTCACAAAGTTAGGCCTCTTAGGCAACAGGAGAATGAAGACCTGATTTTTTTCTTTTTATGTTTTCTAGCAATCATCCTGCTTATTAATATTTGATTTTTCATAACTCACTTACTTCCAGAAAGGATTTAAAGGAAAAGTTGTGTAAAAGACAACAGACCTGAGAAGACTTTAACATTTAAGTGGGCCCATATTTGTCATAGGAAGAGATTTAGATTTACGATCTCATTATTGTTTCAATAAGCTGATTGTTCCTAGTAAAGATGGTACACAGTAGAATGATAAATTCTGGCCCTTTGCTCATCTGGGGACAGAAAGGTGGTGCGTCCAAGGGGTGTGGGTGGGGGATAGAAGGCCTCAGTGGGGTTTTACTGGAGAGTGGGGAAGGTGGAGCTCTCGCCCTTCTGCCCCTCTGCCGCCTCCTCAGGTCGGTCACCCAGCACTTACCAACCGCCCACCACGGGGATTGGGGCGAGGGATACCAGAGTGTGTGGAACCCTCTCTCAAGGCAAAAAGGGAGGCTGACCAACAACACATGGAAGTGAAGGTAAACCCAGATGGAGAACTTTGAGGATGACATCCACAAGTCACTGGCGCAGTTTTAATAAAAACCGTTGTGTGTGTGGGGGGGGGCACACATGTGGGTCCCAAGAGAGAGGCCACCTGCTGGGTTGTTTCTGGGAGGCTTTAAAGAGAGAGAGAGATTGAGAGACTCTTTTCAGAATGCTGCGAAGGCTTTAGGGCTGGCCCTTGCTCTCTCGCCCGTGCCTACAGCGATGTAAGGTCGCGCAAGTCACTTCTGGAACTAACTTGCGAATCTTAAACTATCGTTAGAAATATATCATGGCTGTGAATCCGTTTTCAATGTGAGCAGTTTCCCCAGTTCGCTCCGGAAATTGCTCAAACTCCCAAACGGCGTCCGGCTCGCCGCGGGACGCTCTTTCCGAGGAGACCTCCTTTCCCACGAGCGTTCCGCCCCACCTCCCTTTGTAGAGAATGGCCCCTTTGGCTGTCTGGCCGACCTAGCGGGAAGCCCCCTCCCCTCCCCGGCCCTGCGGTCTGTGTGTCCCGCCGCGTTTCTGGCCTTGACCGGGCTGAGGCACGACCGGAATGCGCGGGAGGACGCGGGGCGGGGACACCGGGAACGGAGGGGACGCCGGGCGGGTCGGCCTGGATCTTGTCCCCGGGGCCCGGCCTGGCTTGGGGTGAGCAGAGGACAGCGCGGAAACCAGGGCGAGGCCCACTCTCCAGACGCCTGGCGCTCGGCCAGGCCCTCGCCCTTGCCCCGGCCACGCTGCCCAGCCTTGGGACCCCCCCACGAGACTTGCAGTTCCGCCCCCCTCGGGGGTCGGGCGGAGCGTGCAGCTTCCAGACCGGAGAAATCTCGAGGATCGCAAAACGGAAAGAGAAAAAAGTCTCCACCGAGCGCCCCC